CACTTACAACGGAAGCTGCTTCTTGATGTTTAAAAGGTTGTTTCCCGCAGAATCAGCCGGTCTCCGGAGCACTGGTCCTGACTTGTTTTAGAGTGACTCCTTTGTCAAGCAGGGTGCTATGGAGCCACCCCTGTGTGTGCTAGTTGTTGCGTGTGTCTCCACAGACAGCAAATCAAGCTACTTCCCTCTCCCCTAACACACTCCCTCTTCCAAGCTAGTATATGAACAGTTGCTGGAGTTTGCTGTGTCCTTTGTGATCTTGTACTGGACAGGAAACTCAGGGAAGCTGAGCTGAGAGACTTGGAAGCAGCTGTTCATAAACATGATGATTGTAAGTATTTGGGCTTACAACAGTAAGTCGGCTTTACAAATGTAAACAGAGTCCCGGTCTGTTTAAAGGGGCCCGCTGCCACCGACGTATGACATATGTTGGTGGTAGCAAAAGGGTTAAATATTGTTCTATGAATGTAGGAAAGTAATGCCTTCTGGGATGCCAGTGTCACAAATCCCAGCAGGCTTTACTTAACCTCGCATATGCGCGAGATCTGGCACCACCTCTGTATACATATTGTGCTGTGTATGGGTTAAATAATGCCTCCTGGAATATGCAACATTGGTATCTCAGGAGGCGACTAAAATGTCATAACTCATCCAGGGGGTAAGGGGGTGGGACCAAATTAAACATTTTTCACTTCCTAGATTCTAAACAATGGCAGAGAGTTTCGGATATATCTGTGAAATGGAATATTTTATTTTGGCAATTGTGTAAAACATAGTTTTAGTTCTGAACTATGTTTGGTCTATCTGCTTGAGGTGTGACAGTCTTCAGAGCACATGCCCTGGCAACAAGCCACCTCACCATGGTTAGGTGTTGCATCATTCATGTTCTCCAAACCACTTCAGTCTAAAAAATTTTTTTAGTAAATACGTAGGAGAGGAAAATATACTTATATATATATATATATATTATAAAGCAAATGTTCATATATTGCAACCAAAAAAATCTAAAATGACATACAATATATAATTACAAATCTTCTAATTGGTAAGTTCCATATAGGGCGTATTTCCTCTTCCTGTAACCCAAAGAAAATTTGAGGGTAGTGTTCTTTATATGAAAGCTCAGCTTATATGAATGTCTACGTGATGGAATCTTCCTAATTGACAGACGCTCAGAGTAGTGATTTAAGGATTAGCACAAGTAGATTGTAAAGAACAGGACTACTTCCTGGATTAGGCAGTGCAGCTCACTAATCTTCTTGTTTCTGAAAATAAAATTTACGAGATTTTGAGGATTTTGGGAAGCTGATTCAGTATTGTAGAATAAGTAAGTACGGCTCTAAAAGGCTTTCATACAAGAATAAGTTAGTTGGGAATAATTTAAGCATACAGCACCACCTCCTCATCTCTTCCTTTTTATGAAAAGTCACAGCAACAGCCAATTAGAAGTTGACTTATGTTGATGGCAGTACCCATTGGTCTTCCTTTTATACTGTATATGAAGTAACTTAAGTGACCTTCTGTATAAATGTGACCTAAAAGAATTGTCTATTGGCTGTAACCAGTAATCACATTGTTCCTTGCAGTGCTAACTTGCATTAAAAACCATGAAAGAACAAGCTAATTTTGGCGTTTTCATGCATAAGGCCTATCTACTACAGAAATAGAGCAGCGCCCTGTTGTTGTTTCTTCTTTACCACAAGTACATTTGTGACTAAATGCTTGTGCAGCTAGAACTGTATATTTCCCCATACAAGTCAATGGGAATGCTAAAGGCCGCGTTGGTGGTTAGAAGTACCTGTAAATGAACTCTGATCTCAGAAGCATTTCAAACTAATCTCAAATGCAAGGTGAATGCACCTGCAAGATGGATGCATTTTGCTCATCTACACAAGCCGTGAGGATCATGTCACGCAAGTGACAGTTGATGACTGTTTGCCAGTAACCTAATGCATAAAATGTAATATTAACCTACCGACAACGGGATTATTCCATCTTTCAGTTCATTAAAAACCGGTGACAGAATAATCCCATCATGCAGTACAATGAGCGCTGGTCCGTGGAGGGAGAAATACAGGTGAAACGCGAATAATTAGAATATCGTGCAAAGTTCATTTATTTCACTAATGCAACTTAAAAGGTGAAACTAATATATGAGATAGACTCATTACATGCAAAGCAAGATGCAAAGCAAGCCGTGATTTGTCATAATTGTGATGATTATGGCTTACAGCTCATGAAAACCCCAAGAACCCCAAATCCACAATCTCAGAAAAGTAGATTATTACATGCAATCAATAAAACAAGGATTGTACATAGAACAATATCGGACCTCTGAAAAGTACAAGCATGCATATGTACTCAGTACTTGGTTTGGGCCCCTTTTGCAGCACTTACTGCAATTACTTTTGCACGATATTCTAATTATTCGAGTTTCACCTGTAGAATTTAATTGGAATAGTTCAGGACCTACTCAAAATGGAAACCTATTCATAATAATGGGTGACACCCCATTCAAAATACATTTTCTTAGGTTTCCTAGCCTGTAGCAAAAAGATCCAATAAACCCCCTCTCTACTAAATAACCCTCAAAGGGTTGCCAGTTCTTTTGTTAATCTGTACCTGTAATTATGTACCTGTAATCTTCTAAGGATTTAACATTGCACCCATGTTTATTGATTAAATATTTCACTACATTGGTATTTTTATTATTCCTAATATTGGAAAGGTGGTCACTAAATCAGCCCTATAAACATCTGGTTCTCCTATTGACATACTAAACATGGTATTTGACACATGAGAGGATATATATATATAATTTACTATACCTCTTGTGACCGTTCACCAAATGTTTGGAATGTGAAAGGAACAAAAATTGGTATACAACTGGACCACATAAACATTGCCCAGGAAATCATAATGGGCCATTTTTTTTTACCAAAGTGTACTCCGGAACAAAGTATTCTTTTTAACGCAACATCCATATTAACTAATGGTAGATATGTCTCCCATTCCCAGCCTTTAACAATTCTTCCCTTTTAAACATTCTTTTCAAATTGATAATCTTGGTGTATATTTTCTGAAAGCCAAGACCCTATAGAATAAAATGGTGACAGTTGCAAATTTTTATGTTGCACATTATTAGCGCAACTCCTTATCAAACCCCATAATTTAGTGAAAAATGTACAATAAATACCAATTTTGAAAATAAAAAATAAAAGATGAGGTTACAACGAGTAAATAAATGCCCAGGTTAAAAATTGTGTGCGTCCGTTAAAGGGCGACAAACCTCAGTACCCCAAAAAGTCCATAGACGACGCTTTAAAAGCCCCCACAGGTCATCAATTTAGAGATTTAAAAAGTCTCATTGAGATTCAGAGACTTAAGCAGCTGAAGTTCAGCACAATTGTCAACCTTTCCTCTGAAGCTGGCCACATCCACTTTGCCACATCCATTTTCACCGCCTAAGGCTGGCCATACACTTGTCTATTTTTTCCTTTATCCCGCGGGCCGAAGGAAAAAAAGACGTGATTCCTGCATCAATGCTAACAGTGAGTCGATAGAGGAATCCCGCTGTTTACATTGTATTCTGTATTAGTAGTCAGAATACCCGATCAGAGCGGGCAGCTCATTGGCTGCCATCTCTGATCGTTCAAAAATGTTCCAGCCGGCTTCTTTGATCAGCTGATTGACGGATGCCGGCCGAATGGGAGCCGACAGCCCCACACACTGTGCGAGTTTCGGCCTCAAAAACCATCCGAAATTCGAACAGGTTATGGGCACCTTTTAGTCTTGCTATTAGTCAATAGGCTGCTAGTCACATTAACCCCTTAGTGACCAGTGATGTCCATGGTACGTCACTAGCACCGGGCCCGTCTAAACAGATTTAGCCGTCGCGACTCTGTTTACAATTGTAAAGCCGACTGTCGGCCTTACAATAGAAGCAATTCTGGCGACTCGTCTGTCGTCAGAACGCTTCTCTGGGCTGGTAAACAGAAGCCCAGCAATAAGCTATTGAAAGAAGACCTGTCACCACAAATCTGCTGTCACATGGGTGGGCTATCATGTGACAGCAATTAAAGTAAAAAAAAAGTTTTTAAAAATATTAAATGTAAAAATAATTAAAATTTTTTACATACGAAAACGATAATCGCACCACACATGTTGGGTATCGCTGCGCATGCCAGATTGAGAGCAATAATGCTAGGGCGAATATTTAGGCGTATCCCAAAACCGATGACCTGTAGGGGCTTTTAAAGCATTGTCTATGGACATTTTGGGTTACTGACTTTTTGCCGCCGTTTCACAGATTCACAATTTTTAACCTGGGCATGATGGGTATCTATTTACTCATTATAACCTCATCTTTTATATTTTGTTAAAATGTTTTATTGTGTTTTGAGGCACTAAATTTTACTTTTTAAGTACGTTTTTCACTAAATTTTTCTATACACAACATAAAAATTTCCAATTGCCACCATTTTATTCTACTGGGCTTTGGCTTTCAGAAAAAAATATATCATTTGGGGGTTTTAAGTATTTTTCAGGCCTAAAATGTGGATTAAAACATGGGTGGAAAAGATGGAAAAAAAATAACAAAAAGGCCTCGAGTTAAAGGACTAATAGGGAGATGCAGAAGGGAGCTGTGCCAAGCTCAGTTTTCCTACAGAAAATGTACACTTAACTTTAGTTGCTTATATCTTTGTTTTTTATCTACTGATTATTTTAGCATGTGGTTTTCACTGAAGGTATGTTCTGTTTTTATTATGGTTTTCTTTGTAACTGTCAACATAGTTCCTTTAAAGACAAAATAACCGTAGAAATGTATGTCTAGACCTACATCTGTAACTGACATTTAGAGATGGACAAGCTTATGAATATGACAACACAGTGATTTCCTTTGCTGGGAGCTTGGGGTTGGCTAGGAGCTTCTCGAACAATTTGCCATATGGAAGCTGTCACTGCAGATTTCTCACCATCTGTGTCTCTTTGCTCTGTAGTTGGAAGATGAGGCTCTTAAGTATATTGGATCACACTGTCCAGAGCTTGTCACATTAAATCTACAGGCGTGTTCCGTAAGTTTATTCTATTTTGTCATTTAAAAATGGGACATGTTTATGGATAAAGTATAGTTAACGATTGGTTGCCATGGTTTTAATGCAGTACTAAACAACTTTAGGACTAAGGACCACATTAGACAGGCAATTCTGACATCAGCGATAGAATCACTAAAATGAATTTTGCATTATCCCATTGACTCCCTTTAGCTGTCCAAGAAGTCCTCTCACTAGCAGTTGCCTTTTTAGCAGTATTTCCGGCAGCACTGGGAAGTTTTCCAACAGTGAGATTAGAAGTTATATTGCAATCCTTTTTACCTTGTACAGTGTCCCTGGAAACAGAATCTCTCATCTGACATGGTCCTAATATAGTTTTACACACTTAGTTGTCATTACTGCATTGTAACTTTAGCAACCATACAGCAGTTGGCTGTTTTTATGTGCTTTATTGGTCTACTTAGCTTGAAGGATAGCTTTTGTTGTATGAATGAAATTATCTGGGTCGTCAAGTGAAGGAGGAAAAGGGCAGACGGACATTAGCAATTCACCAGAACTGAAGTATTGGTAGTGCCAAATAGTTCAATAGTTTAAGTTGGTTTGTTTAGAACACTAAGTATCTTTGATGCATCTCTCCATTGAACAATTCAGAAAGTGTATGAGCAGTTATATTAAAAATGTTTTATATAGCGTCAGTCAGGATTCAGTATTCAGAATCCAAACTGTTTCAGTATGTTCTAGCCGTGATTAGAAATAGTTTTGTAAGGACTGTAAAAATTGACTTTAAGCCAACCTATACTTTTTGTCCATTTAGGGAGAGAGAGTAAGAGAGCAGAGAGTAAAGAGCAAAGACGTATCTTCTATGTACTACTTCTGCTGTCTGTCTGCCATTTAGAGCCCTTTGCAAAATTGTTACTAAAGTTCCAACCCCACATTGGATTGAGGCTTACCTCCACATAACAGTGCTTGGACCTGGTAATTGCGGGGAGGCAGGGAAGAGAGTCACATGTGCAAATTGCGTGCATATCCATACCTGGAAATACCAGGTTATATTGAGTTATATATTGGGGGGATTTGTGGAAACGGGAAAACTGTTGATGTATTGCCCAAAGCAGCAAGTCAGATTTCAGCTGTCATTTATTAAGTGAAGAAATTTCAAAAGCTCTAATTAGTTCTTTTGGGAAAAATATGCACCTTGTTAATCGTCCTTTAGTTATTCAGTGTTTATCTGTAGGAAAAAGATCCGGTGACCTGACTGTGGCACCTTAGTTTTTGACTGTCTTGCAGCCTTTATTCACCTAGCAAGTCTGCAACTTGTTTTGTTCCCTATGATAATGTCTTTTTTCCAGCAGCAGATTACGGATGATGGCCTCATTACTATTTGCCGCGGGTGTCACAAGCTGCAATCTCTGTGTGCCTCCGGCTGTTCTAACATCACAGACTCTATTCTAAATGCACTGGGACAGAACTGCCCCCGACTCAGGTAACAAATGGGGTATAATATAAACAAATATCTATTTTTACTCAAATGGGTAAAAACAGTCTCTCTGAAGGTCTCCTTAAAATGGCTCTCCTGTACTCTATTCAATGCACAGATTTATAATGCAAATGTAACTCGCACACTCTAGAAACCAATGTCGATGCCTTTCAAATACAGGTATAGGATGATTCCTGGATACCCCACATTGATGAGAAAGGAGTTGATCCACAGTTTGCTGACATTGACTTTTTTTGAGCAGAAGGCTCAAACTGTACCTTTTTTATTTATTTGGATTCGAGTCGGCAAAGGCACAAAGGTCTCTATAGGCTTGACATATAGAAGTGCCCTTTACCCAAAAAAGTAATTTCTCTTGCTGGAAAAGCTTATTCGCTGTAGACAGTGAAAAAAAATCTGTCAAAAGGAATGTGTCCAATTTTGTAGGTATGCATCTAAATACAATTTTAAAAAAACAAAAACAATTGGTCGAAATGGACAAGCAAGGACTTTTTTTCCAACCTTTTTACCTTTTTAACATTTTAACTTTTTTTTTTTTGTACTTTACTGTGGGGGTTTTGGGGAAATTTCTCTTTCAAAATAGAAAAAGAGATTGAGGACACAGAGTCCTCAATCTCTTTTTCTGCAGCCCCTGTTATGAATTAACAGGAAGCTTCTGTACTGAGCTCCTGCCCATTCATAAACTGTGAAGATAGTATCAGTTGCTATGTCCACAATCATTAATGAACAGGAAGTGATGTAGAGCACTTCCTGTTCATTCATAACTAGGGACACAGTAAGCCTACTATGTCCTCCGTTATTTACAAACAGTCAGCAATCAGTACTGATCGCTGAATGTTTGTACTCCGCTCTTCATCCTGACTGCTCCTCCTGTCACCGAGTGGGGAGGTGCTGGAGAAGAGCCCGGCCTTCTATGACAGCTGTCTCCTCCCCGGACCACCCTGCTTGGCCTCCTGATCGCTTCTCTCCTCCCCACTGGGCAGCCCAGTAGGGGAGAGGAGCTGGGATCGGAGGGTACACAGACCAGAGCCCAGTGGGAAGGAGAAGTTTGGGAAGCACTGATTTTTCGGCTGTTTTGGTACTATGCGAATTTTGCCCATAGTACCATTTTGGGCCGAAATTTTGGTGCATTCCTACGATTTAGGTGACCAGATCCCTTAACTGATTTATATTTTAAATAAAAATGTTTGAGATGCCATAGAATTATTATTATTTTTTTTTTTTTACTTGTTGCAGAATTCTTGAAGTAGCTCGATGTTCACAACTCACAGATCTAGGATTCACCACCCTGGCTAAAGTAAGGCATTTAGCATGTGTGTTTGCTCCATTTTACTGCACTGGGTACCTGCACGGTATCTTTTTATTGTTTTAAATAGCTCCGTGTGGGAGACATAATTATATTTCAGGATGGGGCAATAAGGCTCCTAATCGATAGTCTTTGCATATCTGCAGCATCAGATCAACCATGGTAGATGAAAACCTAGGAATTAAGGCAGCTGGTCCTAAAGTAACAGAAAGGTAGATGTTAACCAAATAAGAACCAATGGCTATATATACAGTACTGCACAGCATTTTTTCACCCCTCTTAAAACTTTTAGAAAGAAAAGGTGCCCATACACCTGCCGATTTTATCGTACGATAATCGCGGGTGATACCGCGATCGTACGATAATCGGCAGGTGTATGGAAGGCGTGCAACCGTTTCTACTGTAGGGTTGCATGTCTTTTGTCTTCCTAGCACGCTTGAAAACCCGACAAGAATCGTACGATTTTCAGCGTGTTAGTGGCGTGCTCGGAAGACAAATGCCGAACGGGCCGTTGTGCATACGCGCACACTGCCTGCTCAGCATTGGAATCATCGGAAGCCCTCCCCTCGGTAGGGAGGGCTTGCAAGTACGATCTGCCTGTCCAAGATGGGCAGATCGTACAAGATTTTAATTACCTTACAACCATCGCACGAAAAGTCGTGCGATGGTTGTAAGATGTATGGCCAGCTTAAGAATGCTTTCCAAAATGTGTGTGTGTGTATGTGTATATGTGTGTGTGTGTATATATATATATATATATATATATGTGTATATACATACACACACACATTTTATTGTTTATTTCTATCAATGTACACATGCAAAGTGAGTGAACAGAAGAAAAATCAAAACAAAATTTGATGTGACTACCCATTGGCTTTAAACCAGCATCAAGACACAAGGTAGTTATACTGCATCAGCAAGGTCTCTGCCAGGGAAAGATTTTAAAGCAGACTGGGGCTTCAAAATCTGCTGTTCAAGCTCTTTTGAAGAAGCACAAAAAATGGGCAACTGTGAGGACCATAGACACAGTGGCCGGCCAAGGAAACCATGCATCAGATGAAAGACGCATCATGCTTATTTCCCTTCAACATCAGCAGATGTCCAGGAGTGCCATCCGCACCGAACTGGCAGGACCCAGTTACACCGCTCTACTGTCTGGAGAAGTCTGGTCAGAAGTGGTCTTCATGGAAGAATTGCGGCCAAAAAGCCACACCTCAACTATGCACAAGAATATAGGAACTGGGGTGCAGAAAAATGGCAGCAGGTGCTCTGGACTGAATCAAAATGTAAAGTATATTTGGCTGTAGCAGGAGGCAGTTTGTTGCCGAAGGGCTGGATGGCGTTACAATAATGAATGTCTGCAGCAACAGTGAAGCATGGTGGAGGGTCCCTGCAAGCTTGGGGCTGCATTTCTGCAAATGGAGTTGGAGATTTGGTCAGGATCAATGGTGTCCTCAATGTTTAGAGATACAAGTGTGTGATTGGCCCCAAATGTATTCTACAGCAGGACAACAGCCCCAAACATACAGCCAATGTCATTAATAACTATCTTCAGCATCTTCAGCATAAAGAAGAACAAGGAGCCCTGGAAATGAGGGTTTGGCCCCCACAGAGCCCTGATCTCAACATCCCGGAGTCTGCCTGGGTCTCGGATTACATGAACAGAAAAAGGATATTGGGCAGCCTACATCCACAGAAGATCTGTGGTTGGTTCTCCAAGATGTTTGGCACAACCTACCTGCTGAGTTCCTTCAAAAACTGTGTGTACGTGTACCAAGTAGAAGGCAAAGGGTGGTCACACCAAATATTGATTTGGATTTATCTTCTGTTCATTTACTTTGCACTTTAATTGATAAAAATAAACTATTAACACTTTTATTCCTGAAACCATTCTTATATACAGCAATGTTTACTTGTAAGTACATAGAAAATAAACAACATATCTTGCACATTGGTTTGGTATTATAATTATTGATCTAATTATTGTTATATATCAATAAGACCCTAGCTATGAAAGCTAATATTTGATTGGTTGTTGCAGGCAACAGTTCTAGGGTGCAAGTAATGGTCAGAAACCCTACCACATATAATCTGTTCCTGTGACTCTTTGAACTTTGAATATGAAGTTTGCTACATATTGTTAGGTAAATCTGTGTTGCCATTCATGATTGTGATTGTCCACTCTACAGAATTGCCATGAACTGGAGAAGATGGATCTGGAGGAATGTGTACAGGTGAGCTCACACGCTATGAAAAAAAAACAGATCACACATCTTCAAGGCTTTCCTTTTCCGTTTCCTTTTAAGCCTGGGTGGAATCAGTCTTCTCTGCTGGCTCTTATGTGTTGCATTACTGGTTGTCTGAGCTGCTTGTCAAAAGAGATGGCCGCACAGATTACCTCAAAATAGCAAATAGAGTGCAGTGAGGTCATATTTCCCAGGAACAGTACATTAGGTACTGTTGAAAAGTGATGACTTGCACCTGTTTCCAGAGACGTCTGTAACTGGGTCAAATAACATTCAGAGCCTATTTACACCTTTGCATTTTTGTCTGATGCGTGTTTACATTAAAATAAATGGAAACAAATCAAAATGTGTGTCACATTGGCACACGTTTTTTATGCACATTGCAAATCATTTTACATTGCACATTGATATTGAAATAATTGGAAACACATCAAAACGAATGTCATCGCCACTCTTAATTACACAGCTTCAGCACTAGGAGAGTTAACTGACACTTTGTCTTTATAATGCTATACAAATGAAAAAAGCGTTCTTCCCCTGAACACAATAGGCATGCGAACTGGTATCCCAAGAGCAAGGAAGCAGCAAGTATGCAGCCAGTAATACATTGTACTGTACTGCACTATTATCCGTTACAATCTTCCCAGTTCTCTCTGAATGCTACCAAACTCCCTGCTTCTATGTTCTGGAAAAGATGAGAGTAGGTATACTATAGTCCTGCCATAGCATGACAGTGCTGTTCCTTCATTGGTAATGTAAGGGGGGCGCATGTTGTCACCTTAGGGCAGGAAATGTGTTACTGGCATCATCACCAGGTGAAAATTAAGGAAACAAAATGCATTAAAGAGAAAACGAATGCAGTCAGCATTATACACATTACAATCTGACTGTGCCGTCTTTGTACAATCAGCTTTAAATTTACCAAAACTATGTATTATGAAGACCTACTTAAACTGTCCAAGCAATGGACTCCTGGGTTCTTTCTCCATCAGGGTATTATTTGTATGGTTTTCCAGGTTTATGGCTCTCTTCCTTCCGCAAGCTAATAATGTACCGGTATTTTAATTGGCTTCCACCCAGCTTGTGTTTATAACTTTTAGTTGCGAGCTCCTTCAGTGTTTGGGACCGATGTAAAGTGATGCATGTGCTATATACATGAATTAACCAGTTGCCGTCCGCCTGTTGAAAAAAAACGGACGGACGGCACAGCTGCATTGGCAGTTGCCGTCTCCAGACGCCATTTTCTTTCTTCTCGCACACGCCCGGGCAGAAATTATAATGTCACATTTAAAAAAACCTCAAAATGTTTAAGTCCCCCACCGCCACGTTTACGCACATATAAACGTAAATATGCGTCCGGTGCACCAGCGCGCAAAAACGACAATTGCGCAACACTTGTTACATATCGCCGCGAATGTCGGATTGAGAGCATTTCTTTAAGGGCCATCAATAACTGATAACACTAAACTGATGAGCGGTAAAAGCTTTTAAAGCGCCGCCTATGGCCAATTTTGGGTATTATCGTTTTTTTAGGGTTTCGCGCGCGCACGCAATTTTAAGGCTTGACATGTTTGGTGTCTTTTTACCCGACGTGACCCCGTCTTTTATATTTTACCAAAAAATTGGGTAATAATAAATGTTTTATCATTTTTAATATAGGGGAAACAGGTTTTAGTTTTTTTTTTAATTTCGGTAATTTTTCCTTTAATATAGTAAAAAATAAAAACCACAGTGGTGATTAAATACCACCAAAAGAAAGCTCTATCTGTCCCCAAAAATGGTATAAAATGAATTTTTAGTACAGCGTTGCATGACTAAACGGAATACACTTCAGTCAAAGTACCGCAACGCTGAATACTGAAAATGGCCTGGATGGGAAGGGGGGTTAACACCGCGGACTTCAAGTGGTTAAGGAATAGGTTATTGTAGCATAGTAAAGAAAATGAGATGTGTCATCTATACCCTTGTAGTCCTAAGTGCTCTCTGATACTTTGGTTTACAGTGCGGCAGAGATGTGGCGTCACTGCATTATACTTAATCTTTTTTTGTGTTGCAGATTACAGATAGCACTCTTATCCAGCTCTCCATACACTGTCCAAGGCTGCAAGTGTTGGTGAGTGTTACATCATGTGAAAGAGGTGATGTGCAGTTTTCATTTTAATTCTTTAAGTTTTATTGGCGGAACAGAAACGTAAAACAGATACAAAATATGTTCCAGATTACAGGAATAGAAATTATTGATTTAGGTTAGAAATTGTGTGAGCACATGTGAAATGCCCCTTTTCCTCTCACTGATCACAACCTCATCATTTCACACTCTCCCTACCTGTAGCCCCCTATCCCTCCAACTAGCAAACAGTTACCCATAGAAGCCTTTGTCACTTTAAACCTTCTCTTCTCTTCTTTGCAACAGACTACCTTTATGACAAAATCACGCCCCTGTCCTGCCCTGGCCTCTCCACTTCTCTCTACAATTGCTCATTCTCGACCTGTATGGACAGACCTGCCCCATTCACAGAATGAAGTCCTGTCCACTACAACCTTGGCAAGTGGATGACCCAGAAGTCTCAGAAGACATAGTTGTGTTCTTGAGTGACTGTGGCATAAATCTAAATACCTGTAAGGCCTGGTTCACACCTGTACGTTTTGTAGCGCGTTCAACGCTCTACGAATGCTCTACAAAATGCCCAAACATGAAAATCCCATTGTTTTCTATGGGTATGGTTCACACCTTGCCGTATTTCAGCCCGTCTGAACGCTCTACAAAACGGCCTACGCCTGAAAAGGTACATGAGCTTCTTTGCGGCGTTTTTGTCGCGCGTTTCCATTGGGATACAGCCAAGTAGCCCTCGGAAACGCGCGTATGTCGCGCGGTTTTTTTACCGCGAATCGCGGTAAAAACGCGCGTCACTTCACCCAATATAAATCTTCCCTCCAAAAATACAGTACCTGCCTCCATACAGCCAAACAGACCTATTTCATCACACTTATTAACACCCTCTCATCCAGTCCTCGCCAACTCTTTTTTGCCTTTAACTCTCTACTTTGCCCCCCCTACCTTCTCCAACCAACTCACTCACTGCCCAGGAGATTGCCAATAATTTCAAAAACAAGATTAATGCAATGCGTTAAAAAAAATCTCCATTGTCCAGACATCTTCCCCTCCAAACACACCTTGTCAAGCACCACATTTGATACTTTCTTCCTTTGACCCTGTTACCACAGACAAAGTTACTACATTTTTGAACCAACACCCACCTAAACACCTGCCCCCTCAACCCCATCCCCACACAACTACTCTGATCACCGTTTAGCTCTGTTCTACACTATCTTACTCACATCTTCAATCTCTACCTTTCCAACGACATTGTCCCCAGCCCTCTAAAACACACATTGGTGACCCCCATAGCAAAAAAGCCCTCAGTGGACCTCACCATTCTGAACAATTTAAGACTAATTTCCTTGCTTCTGTCTAGCTCCAAACTTATTGAATGCTTAGTCTACAACCACTTGAGCCTCCACCTTACCGTTAACAACCTCCTTTCAATATGGCTTTCATTTGCGACACTCCACAGAAACTGCCCTCCTAAAACTTGCTAATGATTTACTGACTGCTAAAACCAACACTCCATACCGATATTCTTAGGCCATTTTCTGCTTTTGACACAGTTGACCACTGCTCCTCCTCAATAAACACCACTCGCTTGGCCTCAGACTCTGCTCTCTCATGGTCCACCTATTACCTATCTCAGTGTATCTTTTAGTGTCACCTACAACTCTTTCTCCTCTTCTTTTGAGGGTTCCCCAAGGGTCTGTCCTCGGGCCTCTTCTATTCTCCATCTACACCTCTTATGCTGACACCCAAATCTGTCTCTCCATTGCTTAACTTACCCCATCTGTCTCCTCACGTATCACTAATCTACTCACTGAAATATCAACATGGATGTCACACCTCTTCCTCAAACACAACCTGTCCAAAAGCTCATGATATTTCTTCCTCTCCCTCGACTTCTCGCGATCTAAAGCACAAAAATTAACCCCTCTCCTTAGGTCAGAATGCTCAGTGTAACCATTGATTCTGACATCTCCTTTCAGTCTTGCATCCATTCACTATCCAAATCTTTTAGACTTAACTTCCACATTTCCAAAATTCACCCATTTCTGACACCACAAAGCTTCAAATTCATTATCTTGTTATCTCTTACCTCAACTATTGCAACCCCCTCCTTGCTGGCCTACCACTACACAGGCTATCCTCACCTACCGTTCAGTGTCTGCCGTTCTTCTCTGCTTATCCCGTCTACTGGCTCACACTTGCCCAATGAATAAAAGTCAAAATGCCAACAATAACATACAAAGCTATCAACAACTCTGCCCCAAACAACATCACCAACCTCATCTCAAAATAGCACCTGAACTGTCCTCTCTACTACACATAAGACCTCCTGCCTTCTAGCTCCCTCATAACCTCCTACCATGATTGCCTCCAGGACTTCTCCGGAGCCTCTACTATCCTCTGGAACTCTATACCCAGATCTGTTTGCTGATCTCCTACTCTGTAGTAGAACTTTGGGTAGAGTATGGATGGCATAGTTGGTATTGCTGTTAGGGAGGTTTTCCCTCACTTTGTGTCCAGGTACCATCAGTCACAGGAACAGGAAACAAGTATGAATCTTCGGAACAGTCACATAGATGGCAATAAAAAATAAATATTCTCTATTGGAGAGATTTTTCTCACACCCCTTCCCAGTGGCACTAGTCATCAGGACAGAAAATATGATGTCCCTAACATTGACAGACAGCAATAAAAATCTGACTCGCGTTTTGCTTTTCCTGTGTTTCACTTTAATCTTCAATTGGGATGCAAATAATTGACAACCTGATTTTAGCTGCTTTAAGGTGCAAGTCTTTTGTGGACAGTTATCTGTTCTAGATATATCATAACTCCTGCAATAGAGAGGCAGCTTTGTTATAGCAATGAAGAGTGTTGTTAGGACAAATGCACTAAGAAGGCTGATGTTGGACCACAAAGATAGTGGTGACATCACCCTCTCTGGCATGTGATTGAGTCCAAGTACTGCATCATGAAAGGAGGTTACCTGCGCCCCCATAACTGGACACAGTTGCAGTACGGGAGTGCTGAAGAGGTATATTAAGTGATCCAGGGGTGGGCTTTGCAAAGACTCACTTTGCCCTGAATGCGAGAAAGCTAGCCATACAGAGTTTCATTCAAACGTTTGTACATAAAATCGGTCATCGGAGCATTTGATGATGCCATCATTGAGTCAGCTAATTTCATTTGATAGACCTAAAAACTCTGGCCAGACCTGAATGGAATCCCAGATATATTAAACAGGTTTTTTTTTTATTGCTTCTGAAATCACTGAAAGAATAATGCAAAGCAAAGTTTATGTAAATGTATATTGTATATTCAGAAGTAGATTTAAACATGCATTTAGTTCACCAGCCCACGAGGTTGTAGTGACCTATACTATAACAATTTACAAGTTTTGCATATACTGTACAGAAACCTTTGTTTTATTCTTCATTCCTATATAGCATATATAATTATAAACAAACAATCAAATGTCCGTGACCATACAAATTCTAGGCCTGGGCCTTAGATTGTTCTCTTACTTTGGTTACTTTGGTTAAAAACTAGGGTTGCACAGATACCAAGTACAGTACTCGGTACAAGTACGAGTACATGTACCGATACTTTTGAGCTCCAAGACTACACTAGAGAAAAATTCAAAAATTAGGAGGCCGCTGTAATTTGTAAGGAGCACACGGAGCTCCTGGGATTTGTACATCTCTGTTTCAATGTATGATTTTGTTTTTATAACTATAAATAAAGGGATGCACAGATACCAGTTTTGCGAGTACGATTACTGGTACTTGCCGAGTACTTACAAGTACGAGTACTGATACATTTTTGTTTATTGTCATGTGACAGTTTTTCTAAAACAATACAGACTAATGATTTCAGGACAGTGGTGGAGTGCCAGAGCCAGGTCCCAGCTGCAACCACTGCAACCCTGGTAGTTCTCATGAAAATGCCAAGTATCTGTACTGGTACTCAAAAAGTATCTGTGCATCCCTATTAAAAACGATTGGCCCCATTAACTATTAGAAAACTGGATGTATTGAAAACAACAGCTTGGTGTTTCTTTTCAAAGGGATGGCTTGCGCCTGTTTCTTAAGACTTCTAAACTTAAAAAGGCTTCTAAAGTGGAAGGAAAACGAGTTTAAAAAAAAGGTTTTGTTTTCATTACAACTGCAATCATCTCAGATTTTGAGTTTGAAAGTCTCTTGAAACATGTATTTATTTCCTTCTATCTTTTTTTTTTACCCCTTCTTTACTTCCTTCTGCCCCCTCCTGCCCATCCCAACTACACCAGTCCCCCTCTCCAATAACTAGATAGGGTCCCCAGAGAGTAACCCTAGCTCTCAGTTCACCCACTTTAGAGGGATAATCCCTATGCATTACCTTCTAAGTATTTACCTTGCTTCCCTCTAATCTTTTCAAGTTATATAATAAAACGCAGTTGAGGTGCAGCCAAGACAAATCCCTTGTTAAAAATCTAATGAGGATTTAAACACAAGGAAATCTCACAATCAAATAGATCACACAATGTAACATTTCAATATCTTCGGAGACCACAAAATGTAAGATGTCGTCATATGTATGTTGATGATGTTATGCCATATGTCTGCTTTTAACCTGTCACTATAAATAAAATATATATATACAAAAAAATAATAAATCTGGCCCATTGTTTTAAGGGCTGAATTATCAGCCAACACTCTCCATGTCTCAAGTGTACAGGTGAAACTCGAATAATTAGAATATCGTGCAAAGTTCATTTATTTCACTAATGCAACTTAAAAGGTGAAACTAATATATGAGATAGACTCATTACATGCAAAGCAAGATAGTTCAAGCCGTGATTTGTCATAATTGTGATGATTATGGCTTGCAGCTCATGAAAACCCCAAGAACCCCAAATCCACAACCTCAGAAAATGAGAATATTACATGCAATCAATAAAACAAGGATTGTACATAGAACAATATCGGACCTCTGAAAAGTACAAGCATGCATATGTACTCAGTACTTGGTTTGGGCCCCTTTTGCAGAACTTACTGCAATTACTTTTGCACGATATTCTAATTATTCGAGTTTCACCTTAAATTCCAGTATCAAACCTACATAAAATATAAACTCTGTTGCTCATATCTGTATTTTGGTCAGCGATCTGGCAGCTGAATTCAGATTGTTTGTCTCATTTCCCTAGTATTTATACATGCAGCGTTACATCACATAAGAGCATAACTTCTCTTTTCTCCATACAGAGCCTTTCCCACTGCGAATTAATCACAGATGATGGGATCCGCCACCTGGGCAACGGTGCTTGTGCCCACGATCGACTGGAAGTTATCGAATTAGATAATTGTCCTCTCATCACTGATGCATCATTGGAGCACTTAAAAAGTTGCCAGAGTCTTGAACGTATTGAATTGTATGACTGCCAACAGATCACACGGGCTGGTATTAAAAGACTCCGGGTGAGGAGCAAGCACTGCTACTTCTCTTTTATGGAAGGGGTGAATTTTAAACTTGGACAAACATATGGCAGTCATGTGGCTTTTGTGTCAAGTCCAATCAGCTTTCAGTGAAGAAAATAATTAAGGAATTGAAATATGCCTAGCTGTCTGGAAGCCAATGTTTTAATTTTTTTTTCCATTTTTGAGTACCCAAATGATTGGAATTGGCATAGACATGAATTAAAAGCAGTGCAGTGCAAGCCATTTTTCATGGCATTTTCTATATCTTCTTACTTGAAACCAGGCTTGCTGTTAAGGTGCCTATAGACATAAAAGAACATTTAGAGAAAGTGCACCTGTGCAGTAGAGCTCCATAGACCTCTATGGGGCTGGACTATTTCTGTGGGAACACCATGAGCTTCCAGGGGGTCAGGAACAAAGCTGGGAACTATAGCACAGAGATGTTATTGTTGTATCTAGACATTTGAAGAAACCAGAGGATTCAGCCCACCAGGCCCCACCTATAACTTAAATATCACTTTTGGGTTGACTGAACCATTAATTCTATTGACCACACTGCTATCTTTATACTGTGCTTGTGAGATATCACTGTTCTTTCTGTTGTTCAGAAATGTTATGCCAAATACATTTTGAGTTTGAAATTTACAGGTTTCCCTCTAATATCATGTCTTCTACCTCTTTTTTGTTTTTCTTTCAGACACATCTCCCTAACATTAAAGTCCATGCCTATTTTGCTCCAGTCACACCCCCTCCCTCCGTGGGGGGTAGCAGGCAGCGATTCTGCAGATGCTGTGCCATCCTATGAAAAGAGACATACGTCTGGACTCCCTCACTATTCTTGTGTGGAGTTCCAGGTGGACTCATTTGGAAGAGAAACCGCCAGCTTACTGTGGTCGTGGTGGGGGGAGAGGAGACTTTCCTCCCTAATGTAAGAGCGCTCACGCCCTTTGCACATTGGGCGGGGTCTAGCAACCCACAGATTTTTTTTCAGTTTTTCCTTGCTGCATTACCCAGGCTGGTTGAAAAAAAATATGGATTTTTGAACGGGAGCAGAACCAACAACACTCCAGGATTTTATCCCAAAACATTGGAAGGGAGGAGTTTCATAACATTTAGAGGTTTGGGCACATGATCTGCTGCCCTTTTGCATCTGGTTAGGTGTTGATACGGTTATCCTTTGCTGTGGTTCCATAGGAGAATTTTGTGGACAGAGGAGCAGGGACTACTGTTGCATTTAAGGACCTTTTAAAGGTATACCAGCTGCACCTCTGATTTCTACTTTAATCCCTGGTACTACATCAGGGACACAGCAGCAAGGGTAGCCCCAGCACCCTTCTCTCCCTCCACCCCTGGCTCGTGATATCTTGGACTTTCCATATTGACATAATGCATTCCCCACAGATGGAACAGAAAAACAGAAATGTTACAAATAATGAATTATATAAATATATATGTATGTATGTGTGTGTCTATATATTTATTATATA